GCGCGGGGGGAAAGAGGTGCCGGACCTCGGCGGGGGGAAAAAGGTCCCGGACCTCGGCGGGGAAACAACCCCAACTTCAACAGGAAAAGGTCCCAAAGCTCGGCAGGGAAATGTCCCAAATCTCAGCAGAGAAACAACCCCAACTGCAACAGGAAAAGGTCCCAAAGCTCGGCTGCCAGCCCTGCCCTCAGCCAATTTGAAAGGGGAGAAAGCAACACAGCAAACCTGGCTCTGACGACACCAGCAGCAGCAGCGCAAACAGGAGGTTTTGAGGAGAAGGGAAAGCGATCAGGGGGTTGGGAGGCCAAAACGGCAGCGCAAACAGCGCAGGATGGAGGTGTTTGCTGAGAGCCGAGAGCCCCAGCAGGAACAAACACCAGAGATGGCAGCGGGGTCTGCTGAGCTGGAAAACTCGAGCGTTCCCAGCCCGAGGAAGCGCTGTCACCTACCGACTTGTTCCTGAGTCACCGTCACCGTCGGGAGCGACGAGATCTTCTCTTTGTCGGCTGGAGGCGGCCCCGTGTTCTCCAGCTGCCCCAGGAGCTGCGGGGGAGAAAACACATCGTGCTCGGGGGCTTTGCCATGCAGAGCATCACCGAGAGCTGCATCCCCAAACTGCACCCCTGGGGACACCTCGGACCCGGCCCTAAAGCCCCTGGGGTGACAGATGTCACTGTGAGACACCCAAAACGTTCCTGCTGCCCCCAGACTCAGACCGTTTCATCCCAGTTTGGATATTCAGGGGAGCTCTCCCTCCTCCGCAGCGACATTTTCGGCGTTCAGACCTTACTGTCACGCCTTCCCGTCTTGGCAATCCCACTCCTAACATCGCTGCCCTTGCTATTTTTCTCCTGCAGGAGTGAAGGGTGGGAAGGGAGACACTGCCATGGATGTGGGAGAGCTATTCCTGGAGGATTTTGAACCAAAAGAGGCTCAAAAAGAGCCCTGAAATGCAGAAACCAGGGACACGGAGCATCTTGGGCCTCTCCAGGGTGTTGGGAGGAAGGAGGTGACGTCCAGGGCCATAAAAAAGCTGTTTTAGTGGAGCATGGCCACCAAACCAAGGTGTTCCTATGGCTCTGCACCTCCTGCGTGGGGTCTCGGCTGTTCAACAGGGGCTGAGCGCGAGCTGCAGCGCCACAATTTCACAACTCATAGGAATTTTATACCATTAAAGACCTAAATTCACCCGGCAAATCAGCTCCAGCGGGTCCAGAGAAGCATTTGGAAGAGCCTCATTTATTTGAGGGCTGCTTTAAGGTGGCACAAAAGCCCGGGCCGGGCCGGGCAGATGCGGCTCCGAGCTCGAACGGCGACACCGAGCCCTGCCCTGCGCTTCTGGGGCTCCGTTGGTGCGGGTGGGAGGAGGAAGGCGCCGTCTGCGAGCGGCTGTGTGGGCTGCGGGCTCATTTTTAGGATGCGATGAGGAAGGCGGGCGAGCGACGCAGCCGGGGGCCACTCGGGACGCCAGCAGATG